AAAAAAAATAGACAAAGTTTGGATAAGCAAACTCAGAAAATGGAGCCAGGTGCTAGTAGCTCAGGCATGTAATCCTAGGTGTTAGCATTATCCCGCCTCAGTCCTCAGCTCCACACAGACCTGAGCTCCTCACAGACCTGGCCACTCCCTCTCTCTGCCCAGAGTTACCTTACCTCACCACTACCCCAGAGCTACCTACCTGGATGGGGGCAGACACCATATTGCTCTCTCTCCAAGAGGAGTTATGGCCCTTCTAATAAACCTTAAAATAATCTTTCTCCTGTGCCTGCCTGCTTCCACATGGTTACCTGGGATCGTTGTAATGGATCCTAACACTTGGTACTCAGGAGGCTGAGATCTGAGGATCACTATTCAAAGCTAGTCCAGGCAGGAAAGTCCCCTTAAGACTCTTTATCTCCAATTAACCACCAGAAAACCCTAAGTGAAGCTGTGACTCAAAGTGATAGAGCACTAGCCTTGGCAAAAATGCTCAAGGATAGTGCCCAGGTCCTGAGTTCAAGCCCCATCACCCACAAAATAAATAAAATTGAGAAACAGAAAAAGAAGCAAGTGGACTATTGGAACTGATGCCATCACTTTTCCTAAACTTGTTCTCAAACAGGAGAGACAATTCTTTTTTTTTTTTTGCCAGTCATGGTACCTGAACGCTGGGCCTGGGCACTGTCCTTCAGCTTTTCAGCTCAAGGCTAGCGCTCTACCACTTGAGCCACAGCACCACTTCTGGCTTTTTCTGTTTAATGTGGTGCTGAGGAATCGAACCCAGAGCCTTATGCATGCAGGGCAAGCACTGTACCACTGAGCCACCTTCCCAGTCCAAGAGAGAGACAAAACTTTACACCTGCTTTCTTAGGGGTTTTCAGCTGCACTTGAGCATTACATTTATATTAGAAATATCAACAAAAGAGAGTGTGGCCAGGCCGCTCAGACGGAGCAGGGCTTTCTTTACCAGTGGATTGTGTAGAATACACTGCCAGTCTCTTGTCTTCTATTCACCATGACTTCTTCTGATATTCAGGTGAAGGAACTGGAGAAGCGAGCCTCAAGCCAGCTGATTCTCAGCCCTCAGTCAAAAGAATCTGTCCCTGATTTCCCCCCTTTCCCCTCCAAAGAAGAAGGCTCTTTCCCTGGAGGAAATTCAGAAGAAATTGGAAACTGCAGAAGAAAGACACAAGTCCCATGAAGCTGAGGTCTTAAAGCAGCTTGCTGAGAAACAAGAGCATGAGAAAGAAGTGCTTCAGAAAGCAATAGAAGAGAACAATAATTTCAGCAAAATGGCGGAGGAGAAACTGACCCATAAGATGGAAGCTAAGGGCTGGGAAGGTGGCTCAGTAGTAGAATGCTTGCCTTGCATGCATGAGGCCCTGGGTTCGATTCCTCAGCACCATATAAGCAAAAAGAAAAAAGCCGGAAGTGGCAGTGAGGCTCAAGTGGTAGAGCGCTAGCCTTGAGC